AAATGCAGCGTACTTAATCGTTCCCTCTGATTTTTTGGTAGTAACTACTAATTGTATATTAGTTGCTGTAGTTGAATTTTAAAAAGTAACAAACGAGTGGTCGATACAAATTCAGCCTCACAGCAAATTGTTTCATTTGATTTGGGACAGAGGAAGCAAGACTAAGAAGCAGAGAAATCTAAAAATATCGGTTACGGCACCTTTGAAAAATTGGGCACAAGTTTGTGTGATCAGATATTCTGTATTATATGCGTCCATTGTATCGTCAATCGCCCTTAAAGACACTGGAGATGATGACCTCAAGAGCTTTGGAAGCACTTAAACTTGGATTAAGCTTCAAATGCACTATTTCGTTTCATTCCGACACCATATTAACGGAGTCAGAAAATTGCGCCAATTGGTTGCAATCTTTCAAAACGTCTTAGACAATACAAAATAGTGGCCTAGCACAGTGTAGGCGATGGCGGGCGTGTATGCATCCAGGAACCAACTGGGCAATTCCTTACCGGTGAAGGAAATCCAAAGGATACGTGAGCGATCTGGCACACGTGCATCTCCTTAGAAGACAAAAAGCGCAACTCACCCAGCACTGGAAAATCTCAGATTTTGAGATGTTACATTCAACTTAATTAACCTGAATGTAACATATCAAAATCTGAGATTTTCCCGTGCTGATTTACAAGTCAAATAGCAAATGGCGAAAAGATCCAAACTTCAAATGCAATTTTCACGTGCCCCTCCTGCGCACGATGTCACGCAATGGACGGCCCTGCGTGGGAGTGTCATGTGCTTCACTCAAAACATATGTCCACATGTGCCCAACTGCCGAAGATGGAGCTCATAACAAAGAACATTATGATTTTTTCATGATGCTGGAAGTCCTCGGGCTCAAATGCATCAATTAATATTGGCAGAAAACAAATTGCGTTCTGCATGGATTTCCACCCTTTAGCATACACTAAAGCACTGATGGAATATTCCATCCGTGCTTCAGTGCATTATGAAGCGTAATAAGATTCCGTCACTTTGAGATGCTTAAGATGTATCATTACTTCATTATTCTGACAAAGCTCAGACACTTGTCACTTTGCTCACATCCAGGCTTGGTTTTTGCGTTTGCGTTTACGTTTTTCTGTTTACGCTTTTACACGGCAAAACGTAAATTTGCGAAAGGGCTTATTTTGCAGGTTATTCTTACGTTTTTGCAACTCCATGGAACACCCACGTTTCACGATAAAAGTCGCGTACAATAATCAGTCCTCCGCAATCTCCAGCACCCGCAACACAATGTCCACCTCGCCCTTGGCAAGGCCGACGATGGAGTGTAGCAAAACCCCCTTTCAGGATATCCGACTGCCACTCCCTGGACATCGTAAGTCTGTATGTACTGTCCTTATGTACACGGGGCTGCATTTACGTTGCATTTACGTACTTTTACGCATTTGCACTCGTAAAAACCAAGCCTTCTCTCACCGCTTCACAAAATATCCTTGCTCGTCTAAGTTCTTTGCCACTTCAGTTTCGCATCGTCGCACAAATTGCACACCAGCACCAATTTTCTGCAATCGGCAACGCAGCAACGCACCCCCGTCGAACAGGTCCGCCACGACCACATTCACCCCATGCGGCACGACGTCCCTGCCCCTTTCGAGGCTCGAGACGTCGCTGCGCACCACCGACACCGTGGAAGACAGGCCATTGCGCGCCGCCGTGCGCCTCGCCAGCTCGCAGACGCCGTCCAGCACGTCGCACCCCACCACGCTGTCAGCCCCCGCCCTGCCGGCCATGAGCGACAGGAGCCCCGCGCCGCAGCCCACGTCCAGCACGTGAACCTCGCCGTCTGGCGGCAGCCGTAGGTGGGATTCAGCAGCAGCGAGGGGCATTTCGGGATGCCAAGTGAGATGGCATTTTGTGCTAAGCTGGTGCCACGAATTCAGCTTTCTGTGCCTTTCCAATGGCTGCGGTGGCGCCGCTTAGCGCCGAAATGGCGTCGCAGTTGGCATTAAAAAGTTGGCGTTTTCTTCTGGTGGTTTGTTTCCCAACAAGTGCTGGAAAAGCAGCATCTGCTAAGCTGTTTAGCTGCGGTACCAAACGCCATTTTAGGGATGTTAATTTCGATGCCATGTGGAGCTAGTTTACGCCAACACACTTACCTTTCTGCCGTCGTCATCACTGTGACGCAGTTCTTTGGTGTCGAAATGGTATGCAGTTTCCCGAAATGCTATTTTCTGTTGGGTTAGGGAAGAAAAGTCGCATGTTGATTGACGCGTCTGTGCAGGTGTGATTGGCGAGTGATTCGAATGCATTCGGCAAAGCCATGAAAATTTCTATTTGTGTTTGGTGCGTTCATCAAAGATACAGGACTCAGGGTGCAGTGTAGAATACATGAATGCAGCTACCTACTGAACAATGTTTCATTTCTTGGTACCAAATAATTGTGCAAAACGAAAATTGGCACTCGGTATTGCGAATTATGCACAGCGCAAAGCTTGTCAGCAGCATACTTAAATTCACCGCAGCGCAGCAAGCGATATCTGCAGAATATAATAAAATTGGGCAGCACAATTAATAAGTGGGAGATAAATATGAATATGACAGCTACGCAGCAAACAAAGCAAAACCAACGATGTGAATAAAGAGCATAAATATGGAATTTAATTACGCCCATAATACACTGATGGGTACAGCGGAATTGTTTTACCATGTTTACACAAAATTCCACAACTGAGTATTTATCCTCTCCCACCCAAATGTCCCCCATGACTTCGTACCACTATTTGTACATTAATGTCTAACCATATATCTGAGAAAATTCTTTGGTATTAGTAACTTCAGTTTAGCCAATCGTATCAACTATATCCTAATTCAAAATCATGAACAGCTGACAGTCTTCGACTCCCCGCAACTCCGGTCAAAGTGGAGCGATATTTCACTTTTTTGATTCCAAATATTACATCACATTTCAGCGTCCAAGTGATATAATATTTTAGAATAAAAGTCCGAAATATTTCACGGGCTTACAAAACATACTGAAGTGATCATGGTGAGATCCTTCATCTGTTTAATATCGCCACATATATGTTATAATATACATATTATTACATATCGCTCATATCGCTATATAGCGATTCTAGTTAGGGGACACATGATACATGACAGGGGAAGTAATTATAATGTAAAAAGACCCTTTTCCGTTCAGTCGTTTTAGGATTTTCCTCAGACAAGAATACTGAGTTTGAAAACTCACTACCTTCCTTCTTCTTCTTTTCCACGGCAGCCTTTATGGCGCGGTGATACGACTCAGCTCGTTCAGAATCCGCCAAGATAGAAAAGTTGGCTTGAGGGAAGGACAAGTCGTTTTTCATCAGATGGCTATACTCGGCCTCCTCTATGTCAAACCTCATCCTGAAGTAACCAAAATATGGCATCTGAGATCACCAACTCGTACCAATCCATGAGAATTGGGAGACCAAACAAATCGCAAACACGAATCACAGCAATGGTCTTCTTCAGCAAGCCATCGGAAATCTCCCTTGTTATTTGCATGTGATGGCAGCATTGCTTTGGCTTGATGCTTTCATTTACATTCAAGACGGCAAATTCCCTCTCACTCAATAAGATAACCTAAGTATGAGAACAACGGAATGGCCACTGACTATGTGACTTCCTGTTGAAGCAGCTCGCTTAACTATTTGAACAAGTGAGTGTAGAGATTCAGCGTCGCCAAGCGATGTGGGACTTATTATTCTGAATCAGCAATAAGTTATTGCTGTTATTGCAAGTTAAACTTGTAATTGACGAGGATCACAAAACGTTAAAACACAAATGCTTGGGGACATAAATGCATATATTGAAGAAGCATACAAAACATTATGTACACATGTCACATGCGCTATTTTTGTCGCTTATGGATTTCAGTAATTCGTAATCAGCAGAATAATTCGCCTTCTGTGATACAATTTGCAGGTGCTTACACCAAAATACGTCAGATTCAGGATTTTGACAATACCCATGCGTGCTCGAATGAAAATCGACTTTTGCGCGATTTCTCAGATCACTGTTGTACAATAGTCGCATGCACACAATATAATGCTTTTTCTGGCATACTTGTTGACAAAAAAATTCATTTAGTATATTAGTATTGCCAACCTGTAATACACACCAATCAGAAATGGTGGTACTGGCATCGAAGCAATTTATATTGTACGATGGGACTCTGAATCGTCCCTTTTCCAGACCCGTGCTGCCAACAAACGATACAGAGCAAGGCCGCGTAATTTCTAAAAATGACTTAAGTGGCATAATATGGGAGCCATTCCAGATGCACTCACCTCACAGTGTTGTGGCTGCAGGTCAGGGGGAGCACGTCGCCCGCCTCCACCCGTAGCTCCCCGGCCATGTACTGCACCGCGGGGCTGCGCCCGCTGCTTCCCGGGTCCCCAGGCCCGCCGCCCAGCTTAGCGCCGCCCCACAGGGTGAGGTCGTGCCAGAAGAGGACGGCGTTGAAGGATCCGGACGCGGTGAAGCACACGTCCAGTTTCTTGAGGCCCCCTTCGTCGGAGGGGTCGCAGAGGTCGAAGTGCCAGGCCTCCAGGGGAGCACACAGCGGGCGCCAGGCACCGCGGCCTATGGGGATTCCCTGCGTTGCCAGGGGGCTGCACCTGCAGCGAGGCACTTCCGAAGGATTAATACCACTGCTGCGTGTAGCATAGTTCCTGTATTGTTGGGAATAGTACAGTTTGCTTTCACACGCGGTCGTGCTGTGCTCACTGATTATTAAGTAAAATGGATTTCAATCTCAGTGTAACTGAAGAGTTTCATCCGGCATGCGACGCAAAATCGCGGGTTGTGTTTGAAAGCTTAAGGCGAAAGCGCTGCTTTTGTTGCCGCTGACGCTCGAAGAGTTAAGCGACACTTTCTCAACACTTTTGAGGCCAAATAGTTGATGGTTGTGGCTTGCCCTCATGTAGGCTTTCTTTTACTTTTGGGCATTGATCCATATTGAATATGCGCCGATTTGAATCCAAGTATGAGCGCCCGCATTGTTACAAACAGCAACAGTCAAATGCTCACAATGGCAAAATGTTGGCCGCTTATGTGTGATCAACAGCTTGCCTGTACTGATTGGAAGCTCCCATATCGAATCCTGCCACGTCGCCAATTAGAATTTCCGCCGCCTGGACGAACACCGTGGCTGCAGAGGGTATAACTATGGCGTCATTTGTGACAAGGTTTTCGCGAGCGTGGCGAATTGCGGGGATTATTCCAGACGTCAATAGACCTGCGGATGAAGCGCAATTTGTCAACAGAATTTGCAAGCGAATACAGCAATAGTGTAGTTTCACTGAGCGCCTCTGCCAATTTAGCACCTTCATTCATGGCGGGTTGTTTCCAAATTCTTAATTCTGAGCACCTTGCACTTGGGTCGGCAATGTCGTCGACTACCAATCTGTAACATACGTTTGGCTACGGCTGTTGCAGCCAGCTAGGGCTCCTCACCGGATGAGGAGAGGACCTGCAAGGCCAAATGAGTGTCCCTTTCAAGGGTGGGACTCAGACCCTATGTGTGACTGGTGCGAAACGATAGGCCTGTTCGTTCTTGGCCGTTTCGTCGCTCGGAATCGACCCCGCTCGACAGAATTCAAGTCGATTTTATCTACTTCCTCCGTCCAAGAATAAAATGGTCCTCTATTTAAAAGATAAATTTCGTTACCTAAACCGCTTCAAAAATAATAACAAAGGTCAGAATCGAAAATGCAAAGCATATGCTGCCGTCTGAGCTTCTACCCAAATAGCATAGACAGTTTTTCATGGGCGGTATTGTTTGGCCGCCACAAAGTCGTGCTCCTCGCCATCGCGAAAACCGGCAGTTTCGAAGACTTTGTTGAAAAGCGAATGGGTTTATGGCGGGAGGACCCTACTCCAAAGTGCTGCCAAATGATCAATACTTAGCGGATTGACCTGAAATCTTGACCGTATACTCCCAAAACATAGTCGTACCGTTTGTAATAATTCCATTGAAAAATAAAGCATCTGTGATGGAGATGTAGGGCGGCAAAATCATAGAGGACAATTAATCTTGGACAGAGGAAGTATACTCAAGAAACCCTTGTATTGAGCGCAAGAACGCTCGAGCGCACATTAGGACAAATGTGGCAATTCATGTATATACGAATACCACTGCATACAAACAAATCCGTTGGCCGCCTTCACCTTCATCTATCATGTCGCAGATAACCAAATTGCAGCACACAGGGACGTCCCTTTTCATTTCGAGATCTGTGGGCCGTTTGTAAACCACCCGGTACTGCTCCTCTCCAAAATTGTTTCGCTCCAAGACGTTCTTGCAGGCCAGGGCGAGGTAAAGCCACCTGCGTGATCCCCTCTATTCAAATACCGTTAGTTTTCATCCGAGCGCTACATGTCTGACATTTGTTCTATGACATTCCCAAGGCAAGTTCATTGCCGCAAATTTAGACAATTTCATTAGTCATCATTTAACAAAACATGGCTTGGGTAGTGAAAGTGATCAAAAAGTCTAAGATCAGATGCAATGTTTCAGACATTGCTGTATTGCAGCTGCTATCAATGTTAAACATAACATTCGTTCTTGTTGCACTGTCCATTAACCACGAAGCGCGAGTGACCATCAAATTCGAATATAGAATACGAAAATGAACAGCGATACTAATATATTTAGCATCGGCTTCCATTTTTTTCTGGGCGTCAGTGTACATTATTTCCACTAATGCAATTTCGGTGCAAGGCTGCTATCTGCTTTGCTCTATGCGCCTCGGTTGTCCAAAGATCTCACACTTACTTATTGAGTGCGCTGTAATAGCCAATTCGGGAAAATTATTACCAAGTCTGTTCAATTTAAATTTAATTATGGAACAAGTTTCGGCAGAAGTCTGTGAAACCAGGATGCGGCGAGGAGAAGAACTCAATCAGCTGCCGCACCTTGAATGTGAGCAATAGCCCATATTCAAATTATGGCAGTGGCAGCAGCAATTCCCGGGCAGTATATGTAGATCATCTATCTGCACGGAAGGTATCCGCATATGTGTCCATGTAGGGATACTCTTGTATCTTGCTTTGACCCCCTTTGGCGATGAAAACTGGTGCAAATAGGCGACGCAAGTCTGTGAACATGGTTCCATTTTCGGCAATTTAACCTGGGCGCAGTGTGTTGTGTGCAGCGCAGTGCACATACAGAGTACATTCTGCCCACAGTCTCGGACACCTGTCTTCCTGTGTCTGGTGATTGGACTATTATTCCTGGGACTCGTCTCCCTGAGACAGGCCAGGTTTGCAACACATTATACAGATGTAGCGCGATTTTACCTACATATTACTGTAATATTTTAGAATTGCTTCGCAAGTGCTTGCAGTGGTCCTAGGAGAACTGCCGTCACTAGGAAAAAAGGGCCAAGTAGCGCGTGTTCAAATGTGTACCAAGTTTACGTGTTTGGGTTATTTTCCTGTTTCCAGCATGGAAAACGCTGATTAAATGCATATATATGTGCTCGCAAAAAGTGGTATTGGTACTTTCTTTGCTAGTGCGTTTACAGAGGTTGAGGAATGCACCAATCTGTTTGCGTGCGGCAGAGACGTCTGTCCACTACAGGACACTGGTTGGCCAGAAGGGCTATTCCTAAAGTTTCTCCGTACGTCGCGTTCCACTCAATGATGTCAAATCCAATTTACACCACTGCACAAGACTTTAGATTTCAAAAAATGCCATTATTTTGCATCACCCTCGTTGAATTTATGAAGATCGCGTCTTGAGAGTAGAAGAAATGCACCTGTAACTGCTGTGAATGTGCACAAATAAAGCAATTTTATTGGTAATTGGACGACGTGTAGCATAATTCAAACTTTCTACCGATGCTCTTAACGATGCGTTTACCAAGCATGTCACAGGCAGGGCAAGATTCAGGTAGCGACATGGGGCAACGCTCTTGTCACCTTTCCACAGCGGTGACATGAAGGGCACCGCATCTCAGCGCCATCATTGTGTACAGCCCCGCCCCTGCCCCGAGGTGAAGCACCCTGCACTGCTTCCCTCCTTCCAGAATGCTCCTCACGGCCCGCTCTATGGCTCCCTGCATGACGGCGTGCCTGTTTTCGTCCTGAAGCCACGCCAAATGCGCCTTCGGCATCTTTATATCGGTCTGCGCTGCACTTGCCGACAGTATCAGAACGCAGCATGGTCATGATGCCAACTGCTATGCCATTTTGACACAAACTGGCGTCATCGCAATGACTGCGATGCCACAAAAATAGGTGAGATGACATCAATTAGTGTCAAGTGGCATCGCAGCTAGCATCGCGAAAATGTCGCTTTCTATTGGTGAACAAAGTTTCCCAGTTCACAAAGGTTCCAACCATTCTTAACTGCTCATCATTGGTCATCTATATCATTTCGGATTAGCACACGCTCATGGAACATGCGCGTCACAGCTGAAGGATCAGCGCTAAATCGATCAAATGGGCGACGCTGAAAGATTTCTGGTGCCACTCATAACCGGTGGCAGCCACATCGCCTCAGGAAATCATCACTAGGAAATGTTTCGCGCGGTCAGTTCCTATATTCACTTGAGCTACTAAACACCATCAAATACAAAATACGACAGATCATTTGCAGTGATAGATGCTTTTTACCTTGATACATCGTTAATCAATCTACAAGGCTACCTAAGCGGACAGGGGTAAGCTCCAGCTTTGGAAAACACGAGACGCGCGTCTGTCTGGCTCGCGAATGGAAGCTTCTTGGGCACCGATGAAATGCAACGGCCAAATGTACAAAATACGGCGTCGAAAATGACACAATTCACGAGTCCATTTACTCTTTCTGGATCTAAATCAAGCATTTACAGGATGCGCTCTTTGTTGCGGCACTGTAGGTGCAGGCACCCACCTGCACTGTGACGTAATTGTAGGTATCTCGTATGTGGTGGTCCCTCTCAGCCTGGCAAGGTGTCAATAGCGCCGTGGGCAGGAGCTCATCGACTTTGATCCTGTGCAGCGGTGTTGAGTGCGGATGGAAGCTGATGCGGCCAACAGGTCCGGCTGGTGGAAGGGCCAGCATCTCCTTTCCTTTCCCTGTGCTGGCAACAAAGTGCCTCGCATCGCCCCACTGCGTACCGTGCTCAAAACTTGCTCAATATGTATCTAGCCTTGTTGGGATCATAAATTGTTCTCGACGTTTTTCTAATGCGCTTCAAAGAGACTTTGCAAGTGCCCGTGGGCTCGAGTGAGGTAAACAGGCCTTAATCTGCAGATAGGCATAGAAACAAGCACATGCGCGATGGATTGTACTGAAAAAGTACCAGCATGGAGTAGCAGCATCAGCAGCAAGGCTAGCACGAGTAGTAGTAGCGCTCGTAGTGTCACATCTTGAACTGGAAGCACTGGAATTATCGCCAACAGTACGACGACTTGTACTAGTCTTGATATAGCAGTAATGCTACCAATAGTGCAAGTGTAGGACCAACGCTAAGGTTGCTAGTGGTGGCCCAATGATCTAGAGAATTTTTTTGTCGCCCATTAGTAAACGTTTGCGTGCGTATCTCCATATCTCAACGGTGTCAACAAGCTCGATTCCCATTTTAATGCAAATCATTAATATCATAATCGAATTCTGGTTGATCGGAACATT